CCATTCGTAAGGGGGGGGGATGCGCCCACCACCGCGGAATCATCATGCAAAGGGGTCCCGCCCACTGAAAATCCCGCGGGGGGGCGGGAGGGGGGGAGTGCCGGTTGCCGCGTACCTTGCAGTCTCTAGCGCATTGACCAGGCATCTCACCGGAGACGGAAGGGGGCGTACACTGCAGTGAGAAACCGCACAAAGTTCCGCCGACGTTTCTCGCACCTGAACCACCTCGCCGAGAGGCCCCAGCCGGAACACCGGGCCTTCCGCCATGTAGTGGCACCCCTCGTCGAAGCACTGGTAGGAAATGGAGGTCCTGGAGAAAAACTCGAAGGCCTCCGGGTTTGTGGCGCGGAGCCGGTCCGCCACCGCGAAACCATCGACGTAGATGCTCGCGCCGCCCTCTTGCGCTCGAACCACGCAGTTGAACACCTGCCCCGAGCGCGGGGGGGGGGGGGGTTGGCATGCCTTAGCTGTCTAGACCATTGAGCACTGAGGGGGAAGGCGGGGTACTCATAGTCGTGCATGCCGAAGTCGTCAGAACGATTGACCTCGCAGCCCTACAAAGCCGGGACGGAGCACGCCGGGTTCCCACCGGACCAGGCTCTCCCATCCACCAAGCGCGAAGCGCCGTGAGATACTCGGCGAGCGGCCGCACGAAGGGTGCGCTGGGGAGGGGGCAATGGCGGAAAGAAAACTGGAGACCGAGAGTGTGTGGGGGGCGGGGTTACACACATGCGGTAGTGACGCAGCGGCGTACCCCCACCCCCGAAACTCCTACCCAGGGAAGGGGCCGTGAAGCGCCTTCTGGACGATTGCGAAAAACCACGACAACGAAGTCGGAAACAAGTAACTCCCCTCTCCAAAGATTTTCCCCCTGCCTCGCTTTAGAAAAGGTTGCGAGGATCCTCGTGCGTGGGACGAACTCAATCGTCCGTTCGTGCGGCGAGACACAAAACATTTCGAACATGTAGCTGTCCCCCCTTATTCTTCCTGGCGTTATTTGACACCCCTGAGCCGGTGGTAGCGCGGTCGAAGCTAAGTATACACTCAAGTAAGCGGGGGTCCCCAGGTAAGGCGGTCGTGGGGCAGTTGAGAATGACCGCCTTATATTGGGCAGCTGCCTTACTCAATACGCGTAAAACAACTTGATAATTCCGTCTATGCCAGCCGCCATACACATAGTGCAACCAGCTTTCGTTCGGGGACTCCAACTGCTGTACCTGGATTCCCGGCGGGTCCGCGAGGTACCCGCAGTCCGTGTGCAGCGCCAGGCCGTCGTTGGAGTAAGCGCTGTCCCGGAACCCTTCCTCCCCCGCGGAGGCCTCCGCGGATGTGGCCCACATGCCGGGGCCGTACAGCGTGCTGCGCAGGTGGCCCCCGATCCTTAGCGCCAGGGCCTCGGTGCCCTTCTCGTCTGTGGGGACGCCGCGGACGAGGGCTACGCCGTGCGACCGGATGAGGTCCACCAGGCGAGGGCTCGCTCCGGGAGCGGGTGGCGGGGACGAGCCCGCCGCCTCCGGGTCGTCGAGGGCTCCGTCCGCCATGACATCCTCGTAGCTCATGCACGCGGGGGGGTGTTGTTGTTGTTGTTGTTGTTGCTGTTGTTGTTGTTGCTGCGGCGGCGGCGTGCCTGCTGAGAAGACGTCCGCGCCCCACAGGACCGGGCGGGGGTGGATACCAGGGCCATCTGCGGGGCCCCCGTGGCGTCGCCGCAGGTCTCGCGCCGTCGCCGAGGTGCAGTGCCGCCGGAGCCAGTCGATGGGTATGGTGCTGGTGCTGGTGCTGGTGTTCGGCCCCTCTTCGCCGTCGCCGGTGTCTTGGGGTCCGGCCGGAACATCGCCCCAGGATACTCTGAGGACGTGGGCTTGCCGGTCGGTGGTTGCGGTGTTGCCGTTGCCTCCTCCAGCATCGTCAGGGGAAGAAGAGGACGCTACCGAGGCGTTCCGCACTTGGAGATTGTTCGGCACCTGGAATGTGTCCACCTGCAAGGTGTTGGGACGGGATACGGAAGGAGCCGTTGGGTGTCGCATGATGATGCCGCCAGTAAAACGGCACCGTTTGTTGTGGGGAGGCTGTGTGTATTGCTATCTAGAGAAACCTTTTGTCCGGATAGAGGGCACGAGCGAGTTCGTTGGGGAGCTTGGCTTGCCGAGAAACGCTCCGCAACAAAACAGAGCTGAACCATTCTATTGTAGGATCTCTTACGAAGAGCTCGAGACAATACCTATGTACCGTAATGAGCGACACAAGATAACACATCCCGTTCACGGAGAGGGTGTGGTTTCGCCGTCTGATCAGAGAGGCAAAGCCACACAGAAGGAAAAATGCCCAACCTCCGGTTCGTGTGTGCATGGGCGGATTTGGAGATACCAACCGCGGGACAGTACTAGGTGGTGTCGCAGATGGGAACTGAGAGTACCCTGGTTGGGTTTATGGTTGATCCACGGGGCTCGCGCCTCTGGGAGTGAGAGAGCACCGTAGCTTGCTCACTCTCTCCCGCCACGTTGTCTCAGAGTCGTGACCTCCTCTGCGGTCCTGAATACAAGTGACACACAAGTCCGTTCAACACCCACAAGGTTGCGGTACTTGAAACGAACACAACTCATTCTCATTGTTCTGATCTGTACGCGACACAAAAAAGGTTGACTGGTGGGTCTTCTAACGTAAATAGAACGTCACAACAGCTGGGACAGGCATTTTTTTTCAGGACGTTATTTCTAGAGCGTCAGTCTTTAGAGTAGGTCTTAACGAAGAAACCAGATCACGAAATCACATTCAGATTTAGTTATAAGACCGGAAGATCCAAACAACTCTTTCGTTGATTGGCTGAAATGTTATGGAACCCGTCGAATCTTTAGGACATAAAAAAGGACGACCCAAAACCAAATCGGGATTTGAAAAAAGGTTAAATGATTTAATCGGATCCTGATTTGGGTGCACGGCGCGTGCCCACCTACCCCCATCCACACGAACTCCATCGACCGCCGAGCACAGAGGAGAGAGAGAGCACAAAAAAGCCAACCCAAATGAGGGGTGACTGCGCATCGTTGTTGCACGTGACTGGCGCCGAAAAAAAACGTGTATGGGATGTGTTGGTCTGTGGGACAATCTCCCGTGGGTTGTCGAACCTCAAATGCACAGACGAATTGGTGGCTTTCCGTCGGACGAGGCTCGATTCAAAGTCTCACATGCATAGACATCGTGTCAGTACCGCACAGAGGCCATATACGCGTTTGGTGTGTGCTTCTCGGGAGCGATAGCTCCCCATGTGGTGTGGCCGTGTCATTACAGTACGTCACAACAGTCGGCAAGCGGCGGACCTCTCGGGTTGTTCGCGGTGGACTGCAGAGATTTGTTTCCATTTGGCAGATCTCCGTTAAGACACACAGGCCATTTCTGTCCGGATTAGGGTAGATCCGACTCCTTTATTCTTATATCGAAATGTGATTTCGAGATCTGATTTCTTCGTTAAGGCCGAGTCTTACGTCGTGATTATTTCGGGATTTTTTTTAGGGGGGGGGCCTTTTCTCAGCCCAATTAATTATTTGAGCGTCTTACGCGGAGGAATTTGGCCAATTCCAAACGCCCGAATTCCAAATCGCCGAATATTTCCTAGGATCCCAGCTGCCGCGTTGGAAAATAGGCCCATTTTCCAAACTGGATCGGCTGATGATTTCCAGTTTGGAATTGGGGGGGGTCACCCCCTGGTCACACCCCGATCGTGCCGGAACGAGGAACTACGCCGTCTGCTGGCCAAACAGAGGCCAGTATCATGAGGTCATACACAAACCCTCTGCAGGTATCAAAAATTCAGGGCGTTCTGCGTCGTGTTGGCAGCACACGAGCCGATAACGTCAACCCTGCCACATTGCTCTGCTGCTGACGTTCTTGCCTTTGGGCCGAAAAGAGCCGTTTTTGTGCCTGCTGCATGTGTGACCAGTCAAAACGAACGCCAGAGAGAGGCTTTACGCCGTCGACATCCACAAACTGCAGCCAGTGGCGTGTGATCATATACATACCCTCTGCTCGCGTCCCAGAAACAGATCGTATTGTCCAGTTTTGATTGCACACGACCTGTAAACGTGAACCGAGTGTGTTGCAGTGTTGACTTTTTGGACTTTTTTCTTGTTCCGCCGCGTGTTTGCTCCGTGTGTCACCCGCTACCAGTTCACAACGCATGCCAGAGGGAGGCTTTCGGCCGATGACATCCGCAAACCACTGCCAATGGCATATGATCATACACAATCGCTCTGCTCGCGTCCCAGAAGCAGAGCGTATTGTCCAGTTTTTATTGCACACGGCCTGTAAACGTGAACCGAAGTGTGTTGCGATGTTGAATTTTTTTAACGTTGCCTTTTTTTTTCTGGTTGCTCCGAGCGTTATCAATCCATAACGCATGCAGAGACGCCTTTGGCCGACGACATCCACAAACTGCAGTCACTGGCATGCGATTATATACATGCCCTCTGGAGGCGACCCAAAAACAGGGCACTCGGTGTCTTGTTGGTCGCACACGAGCCAAAACCGTGAACTGCATGTTGTGACCCACAAAGCCCTGAATCGGTCCCTTTTTTCCCCTCTGAGAAAAAAATCTGTCTCGAGGATCCGTAAGAAGGTCGTTTGGATCCAGATAATTTTTCCCTTGCAGACCACCCCCCCTCCACCAAGAGCAAAAAAAAACTCCGAAATAATCACGACGTAAGACTCGGCCTTAGACCTACCCTTTTTAGTACTCCTACGTGTATTTCATTACCATGCTTATTATTCTTGTTTTTCGCGAAAGCTCACTAATCATCTTCAAACTAGAGCGGAAGTAGTGAAGGACAGCAAGCAACAGTGCTCAATGGCCCTCACATCTAAAAAGTGTAGCATGACTCCGCACCAGACGTGATGACTGATGAGATGATGAGATGATAGCATATGTTGTTGTTGTTGTTGTTGTTGTTGGTGTTGTTGTTGTCTTCACAATAAAAACCGTTCCGTTCTCTCTGCTCAGTACCTTCTTCTGTCCGTACTAGTCTAATACTTGACGGGGTCGATTCCCGTGGTCACAGGCTAACTTACCCAAAAAAAGGTATACGAAAATAAAAATGGACCCGAAGGGTCCGCAAGCCAATGAAAGTCAACGGCAGATAGTCTAGGCCATTCCGCTCGCCTCTACACGCTGTGCGAGGTGACCCTAGATTGGAAAAACATCGAAAAAAGAAACCCGCAGGGGAGATGTCCCTATATGCTGTCTGGGAAATCGTAGACATACAGGTACTTTTCTGACGCTATGAATCCATTGCTAATCTGTCTCAGACTCTTTTCTATGATGGAGATGGTTTCGTGGTGTCATATTAAGAAAAAAAAGAAAAAAAAAAAAAAGAAAGGAATAGAGCAGTTGGAGAGAAGCAAAGGGAATGAGAAAGACACAGCATATGCACGTGCTTGAACAGCAGCAGAGGCGTCTAGGCTCATGTTACAGCCGATGGTACGCATAGGACGGAAGGACCACTGGACCTTGCTTGACCATCAAACTCGTCCCAATACTCCGCATCATCTACTGTCGTCTACTGCTGTAGTCACAGGGCGTGTCTAAACTGCACTTTTTGGGGGACAGAGGGAACAGGGAACAGGGAACTCGGAATTCCCTGTTCCCTGTTCCACAAGTCTCGTCTCAGCCATCATAATTTCTCTCAACCAGGTAGTAACAAACACAGCGGAGCCACAGCCAGCAGTCCGCATCCTAGGCCTCACAGACAGATCCCGTAAACCCATGAAGCCGCAGAAGACTACGGCTCATAGTCCACGTTACTGTAGTCTTCAGCAGTATGGTTGACTGCTGTACTACTGAAGCCAGTTCACAGCAAGAGAGGTGAACAGCAGCAGCTTCTAATCTTTTTCCTCACCTGTCGCTGTTTGGTATGGGAGTTGAAGGCGTCGGCGGCGTGGTCTCGGAGCCACTTCGTGGAAAACTCGCTCTTGTGACCGTCCGCCCAGGAAACGCCCACTCTCTGCCCGACGCCCCCCCCTGGCTGCACTACTACCGCTGCGGAAATCCCATGCCGTCCGCCCTCAACGAAACGTCGCCAGGCGTCTTGAGCTTCAACAAGCGGTTGCCTATCGCCACCAACAAACCCGGTTGCCCATCTCTTGGGGGCAGAGAATCGCGGCGGTACTTTCGCTGCCGCCTGGCGTAACATTTCGTTTGCTTGCTGCCACTACTGTGTTTGGCGGGTGGAGCTGCTGCCTCTCGTCGTTGGCTATTGCACCCGTTGCTCAATTCACGCACGCACGTCTCTCCGAAATTTCGAGGTAGTGTTTACACATTGATAGTAGATCTTTAGGACTAACGCGTTCTGATTGGTCGGGCGTTGTTCGGCGTTGGTTCTGGCGGCCGATTCCTCTCCAGCGCCCTCTCCCCGTTCCGCATTCCGAGCACGCGGCGCAGCCGCGTGCCGCCCAGTTCGCGGCCGCTAGGCGTGCTTGGAATCTAGCCTTGCTACGTTCGTTCAACATCGGTTAGTCCTAAAGAGTCACTATCAACGTGTACAGTAACCAAGGCTCCCGATCTCATCTCGCACAACTAATAGTACACGATGCGGCCCGAAGCACGTTCTTCGTAGATCTGGGAGAACAATATCTTCGTAGATCTGGGAGAACAAGATCTTTTAATGGAGCCCGTAAACGGCCGCTCTTTTGCTCCTGCTGAGGAACTCAGCAAACTCCATGGGACCTCAGGTGCACGGGGCCACAAGGCGGCGGCGTACATGCCCGGAGAAGCACTGCTGGGCTAAGTCTCGGCCACCAACACGATGCGGCAGCATGCGGTCGGGGTTGTGGGTAGTAGGTGCTGTCCTCATCGCTGGGTGTGCCTCATCGGAAGGCTGCTACATCCATGGGGCGGATATTGGGTACTGCGAGACATCGCTTTACGATGACAGCGAATTCAGGTGTGTGAGCTTGTTACAGCAGTTGGGGGTAGTGCAACACATATGTAGCTCTCTGCGGCTGAGGGGCAGGGGATCGCGGCGGTGTAGAAAAACGCGGCGCAATATGTAGCACCTAGACTATACGCCTGCTCTGGTGCTTACACTACCGTCCGCATACATATCAACGGCAACCGTCGAGGGAACTCCCCCTCTGCTTATCTCCTGCGAAAAGCTCACGAGAAAATGGGTGCATTGCATCACCGTACTTATGGTGCTCGCTTCGCAACAACCTTTCTACACCTCGCTCACCCGCGCCGCTCTCCCCGCATCAGGCTCGCAGCGACGCCGTTCTGCTCTTCGTACATCAAGTACTCGACATGCGTGCCAAAATACGATGTGAGTGAAGGGAGGTCATAATCAACCCTCCATCAGATGGATTCCAGGCTTGCGACATCGTATGATACAACGTGGAATTCTGCATCCCGTCAATGAGGTTTTATGTATACCTCTGTACAGTATAGCTGCTGCCTGCCGTTGTTCCAGCCGTACTGTCGTCCCACGAAGAAGCGCATCGATCAAGTAAACCGACCTCTGGCCACAGCGGCAGTATCTGCGCGTGGTATCCAGCACACACACCACGTGTCGATTTCAATAAGACTACGCACAATAGAAATGCTGGGCCGAAGCACCAAAAGCATGTTCGCGGCCGTTGGCTGTGGCGTGCAGGTATTGCTACATACTGCAATATTATATTCTACAGTACCCATGCATGCAACTGTACCCTTTCCAAGCACTCTTTTCTTCTGAGCAATGACAG